TTGCTTAATATAGTATGCTGCACTAGAGTAGACTCACTGAATCATTGGAGTTTTGGTGAATCAATTCCAAGTTTCATTGTTTCAAATGGTCCTTCTCTATTTGTAACTTAAAAGTATGTCATAACTAGACTAGGCTCATTTGAATTTGTGTAACTTAAAGTGTCACACTCTTTACACTACTGGAGTGTAACCCTATTCCCCATGTGAAGCAACAAAGATGAAATACTGTGTTGCTGGTGCTATCTCTACACCAGAGACCTGAGCACACCTACGTAGCAGTGTGCCCCACTATAATAAACAAGATCTAGTTCAGACTAGAGTAGGGAATATTCTATGTGTCATAATCCTGGGTGTTGTTTTTCTCTTCAGCGTGGGGGAAAACTCTTAATGTGATATCAAATCAGTGTTGGCATGAATGTACAAGATTTTAAGGTGGTCTTTGTAATTTTTTTTAACAACTCAGAAAGCTGGCACTACGAATTATTTTTCTTTAAGTTTACATAAAAATGTGGCTATGGGATGGAAGTAACAAACTGGTAAGTTTAATACAGATACAGTGATGCCCCGCTTGATGATTACCTCATTAGATGAGGAAATCGCTTAACAATGAGTATTTTGTGATCGCTATAGCGATCGCAAAACAATGTATGGGTTTTTTTTCGTTTAACAACGATTGGTTCCCTGCTTTGGGAACCAATTTTTTGCTTAACGATCAAAAAACGATCGTCGGTTTTTCAAAATGGCCGCCCACTGTGCAAAATGGCTCCCCGCTGTGTTTTAGGACTGATTCCTCGCTATACAGGCACCAGAAAATGGCCACCCTATGGAGGATCTTCGCTGGACGCTGAGGTATTTCGCACATTGGTACGCATTGAACTGGTTTTCAATGCATTTCAATGGGTTTTTTACGCTGTTTTCTACAGCGATTTTGCTGGAACAGATTATCCTCATCAAGCGAGGTACCACAGTACAGGCTGTCAGTTTTTAAAATATATATATATATATATCCAAGCTAATTCTCTTGCTTGATTTTGAGTTATTAGCAAGGATTCTGTGCCTATGCATGCAGTATTTAGGAGCTGGGTAAGATGAGGGTCCCATCACCTCCTAGCAAAAAGAAGGGGAAGATATGGAGGCAGGGACAGATTTTCTTTCTTGGGCTCCATGATCACTGCAGATGGTGACAGCAGCCACAAAATTAAAAGACGCCTGCTGCTTGGGAGGAAAGCGATGACAAACCTCGACAGCATCTTAAAAAGCAGAGACATCACCTTGTCGACAAAGGTCCACATAGTCAAAGCTATGGTTTTTCCAGTAGCTATGTATGGAAGTGAGAGCTGGACCATAAAGAAGGCTGACCACTGAAGAATTGATGCTTTTGAATTGTGGTGCTGGAGGAGGCTCTTGAGAATCCCCTGGACTGCAAGGAGAACAAACCTATCAATTCTAAAGGAAGTCAAACCAGAGTGCTCACTGGTAGGACCGATCCTGAAGCTGAGACTCCAATACTTTGGCCATCTCATGAGAAGAGAAGATTCCCTGGAAAAGACCCTGATGCTGGGAAAGCGTGAAGGGAAGAGGAGAAGGGGACGACAGGACGTCAGTTTGTTTGTAATTAATACTGTGAAACATTACCAAAAATAGAAGCAAATATTAAACCTGTTAACTTCATGCTTGTGTCTGATTGCTAGAGATGGAAGCACAATGAATCACGTCAGTTTCAGTTTGTAATTAATACCGTGAAACATTACCAAAAAGAGAAGCAAATATTAAACCTTTTAACTGCATGCTCATGTCTGATTGCTAGAGATGGAAGCACAATGAATCGCCAGTAACCAAATGATTTCATGAACTCAAATACATTTTGTATGTGTGCAAATTTGTAAAAGAAGTGGTTTATATAAGGGCAAATCGTATAAAACAAATGTACGGCTAGGATATACCTTTTATTTGACCACTATAAAATCATATCAGGTACTATCCGAAAAAACAACACAAAAATCATATAGGTGGAGAAGGCCTATTTCCTAAAGCTCAGCACAACCTCCTCAGTGCCAAATAACTAGACAAAAGTCCAAAAATTGATGTTATCCCAGAGCGTACAAGATTTTAAACCAAGCTGCAAGGATGTTTGAGAAGGCAGCCGCAAGAGGACAGGATTCACTTTTCAGACGTGTAACATCACCGAGGTGGGTTTCTCCACAAAAGCTTGCCATTGGTATGATTTTATAGTGGCCCAATAAAAAGTATCACGCCTTTATATTTGTGTAATCTTGGGGACCGACCACGTGGCCCTATCCTCGTTCTTCAATGAATAAAAACGGTATCTGGAAAACCTGGCCTGGTAATTATTAAAGTAAGAGAAAGAGAAAAGGCACCATTACGCTATGTTTTGTCATGGAAAAAAATCCCTTGGGGTGAAAAATCCATGCCAGCTTTTGCCAGTGAGAGGCTCGAACCCATAGCCCGTCCTCCCCTGGCAGAACCTCGCTGTATTTTTTAGGGGAAAGCCTGAAGCGGGGCGGACGGAGGACTGTTGGATAGGAAGGCGTGGGAGGACGCGCTTCTCGGAGAAGCGAAGATGATCATCAGCCTTGTTTCTGCCCTCCTGTGCTGCTCGGCCGCGACGATCCTCCTGCTGCAATGGCGACGGCGGAGAACGCTCCAGAGCCTGATCGCCGAGGCTCGAGCGAGGCGAGGGCGCTCCCTTCAGGACATGGAAAAGGCTGCTCGCAAGTTCAGGGATCAGGTGGGTCGTGGGAAAGCCGCTGTCCTCGGGAGCGCGCCGTGCCTTGCGCTGCGGGCCGGGGAATAGACGCCAAGCGAGGATCCGTTAAGGACTTCAGACTCTGGGTAAAGAAATCAAGGTCCAGTCCTGGGACCGGCGCGGGGAAATCCCCCTGTCACTCTTACTCAGTTTTGCCAGGAAAAAAAACCCAGCAGAATCGCTTGTGGCACCTTCAAGGGGAATAAGTTGGATTCAGCATCACCTTTCGTGGGCTGTAGCCCACCTCCCTCCAACGCCGGTCCACAGAAGCTCACGCCAAAGAAAGCCTGCTGCTTAAGGGCAGTGCAAATCTGTTTCCTTTCAGGGTGCCACAGTGTCACCCCGTAACTGTTAGGCCACACTGTCATTTGGCATGACATGTACACAGCAGCAATTTTCAAGGGTCTTTGGGTAGAGTCGCTGGAAGGTTCCCAGGAATTTCAATGTTTTTTTTTTTTTAAAGAAGCATTTGGTTTGCTGTTTTTGTAGACTACTTGTTTCTTTCTTCTCACGTTTGGCAGCTGATCAGGTTGGTGTAATTTTTGCACTGGCGACAGTTTTTGAAGTTGTGGCTGTCTTAGCTGTACAAGCATTTCAACAAGAAACATAAAGCAAAAGAAAGAAAGAGAAAAAGACATTGAGGTACCTTAAAAGACTACCTGCTGTATTTTAAGGTAACCCAACATTGTCCACTTCATCAGACATAAGAGAGAATACAGAGACTACATGGTGAGACATGCATGCAAGGCTCTAACATAAAGGGAGAGCTGTGTTTGGTTGCATTTCACACCTAGAAATGATTTAAGACCCAGTTTGGTATTCAGTTCTTTTCAAGCCTGGTCCTGTGAACAGTGATTAAAGGAAATTAAAGGAAACAACAAAGAAACAGCCTGTGGTAATGCAGAGAATGGCAAACGTTACTTTTGAGCCTTGTTCTGAAAAGGCAGGTCTGGTTAGTTGGGAAGGAAAATAACATTAGATTATTGTATAACTAACATTATTTGCTAATTTTCTCTTATGAATCTGTCTTACAGTAGCACACATAGTCACCAAGTCTGGTTAGTTGAGAAGGAAAATAACATTTGATTATTGTATAACTAACATTATTTGGTAATTTTCTCTTATGGGTCTGTCTTACAGTAGCACACATAGTCACCACCCTCTGGAACGCTGTACTTACAACTGTTTCATCTTTGACAATGAAGCCTGTCTCTGGATCAACGGAACTGCCATGGGAACTTGCATGGCTCCACAATATGCAAATATATTTATGGCATATATTTATATGCAAATATATTTATATGCAGTATTTATATTTATGGAACAATGCTTTCTTAACTGTTGTACCCATCCTGATTATATTGATTATAATTTTTTTATATGGATCCATGGAAAGAACACCCTAGAGAAATTCCACCAGGATTTCAGTGACTTTCATCCAATTATCAACCTTAGCCTGGACCAGTGCACACAACAGGTGCATTATCTTGACACCACTGTGAAGCTACAGCATGGCTCTCTTAGCACCATGATACATCAAAAACACACTGATCAGTGTATCTAGCTGTATGCCTCTACCTTCTGTCTTGCACACACCACTATATCTATTGTTTACAGCCAGACCTTCAGGTACAATCCCATCTGTTCAGACCCACATGATAGAGACTCCAAACTCAAGGATCTCCAAAAGGCATTTCTCAGACTAAATACCCATCCAGTACAGCTAAAGAACAAATTAAGAGGGCAAGGTGAATACCCAGAAGCAATCTACTGCAAGACAGACCCAGAAAAGAAAATGACTAAACTAAATATCAATAATTGCCACTTTTAGCACATAACTGAGTCTATCTATCTATCTATCTATCTATCTATCTATCTATCTATCTATCTATCTATCTATCTATCTATCTATCTATCTATCTATCTATCTATCTATCTATCTATCTATCTATCTATCTATCTGATTTTTATACCACCCATCTTGGTGGTTTACAACATGAAAGTAACAATAATAATACAACACAGTATAACTAAAATTCAGAAAGTTCAAAATAGTACCTTTTAAAATACATAGGGCTATTTAAAAGTAGGTGGTAGTTACCACTCACAAGCATTATAAATGATGGTTGTTGTGGGTTTTTGGGCTCTTTGGCTGTGTTCTGAAGGTTGTTCTTCCTAACATTTCTCCAGTCTCTGTGGCCGGCATCAGAGTGCTACTCCTGTCCTCTGAAGATGCCAGCCTCAGAGACAGGTGAAACATTAGGAAAAACAACCTTCAGAACACGGCCAAAGAGCCCGAAAAACCCACAACAGTCATTAGATCCTGCCCGTGAAAGCCTTCGTTAATACATTATAAATTATCTCCAACCCATCCTTGACAAGAATACTTTACTCTCCCAAGCACTTGGTGACAGGTCTAGACTTGTTTACTTACAATCCCACACCCTCAAGCAACTATTGGCACAAAAGTTACACAATAATTTATTATGATTTTCCTTCCCAGCTAACCAGATCCACCTTTTTAGAACAAGGCTCAAAGGGAAAGTCTGCCATTCTCTATATTACCATATGTTGTTTCTCTGCAGTTTCTTTCCTTTAATCATTGTTGCTGTTTATACAACCAGGCTTCAAACGAACTGAATATCAAACTGTGGTCTTGAATCATTGTGTGAAATGCAACCAAATACGACTGTCCCTTTATCTTAGAATCTTGCATGAATGTTTTAGCATGCAATCTCTGTACAGTATTATGACTCTTCTATCTGAACAAGTAAATATGTTCCACAAAAATGTATGTAAAAATCTAGTAGTCAGTCTTTAAGGTGCCACAACATATTATTACTGTTGTTGTTTTGTGTTTCTTGTTGAAATGCTTGCATTAGGGATTGTGTGAAGAGGACAAGGGCATGGATGTCCCTATTGGCGAGCAGTTGTATCCCAACCCAGGGCCTGACCCTACTGCTCAGCCAGCCCAAGACCTAGTGGGGAAAAAGGCAGAAGCCAGGATGAGTCACTCCTGAGAGACTGAAACTGGTTATGACTGCCCAGAGGATTAGGGCATGACCCCTAGGAGGAAGCCAGAATTTAATTTATACCTGGCAGATGGAAGCGACAAAAGCTGCCTTGCCGCCAGTGGAAGGAGGTCCTCTGAAAGAGCCAGTGCAACAGGAGACTGACTGCCATTCTGATGCATCCAGGGAACAGGAGCCAGAGGCCCTGGGGGGAGAGGAGGGCCTTGACTTAAGAGCCTTGAGTAATGCCCAGGAAGGATTCTCTGGGACATTTTGGGCTGAAACTGAAGAAGAAGAAGAAGAAGAAGAAGAAGAAGAAGAAGAAAAAGAAGAAGAAGAAGAAGACAGACGACGACGACGACGACGACAAAAACGTGGCGGCATGCTAAAAGACTTAAAAGACTTAACTTTTATAATGGTTGTTGTGGGTTTTTCGGGCTCTTTGGCCGTGTTCTGAAGGTTGTTCTTCCTGACATTTCACCAGTCTCTGTGGCCGGCATCTCCAGAGGACAGCACTCTAGGCTGAGGAATCCCCAGAGTCAGACTTGGAGCCCCTCAGCAGAGTGGGATTGTATTTATAAAGAGGGCCTGTGGTGTGGAGGGGGTGTTCTAGTCCAGCTAAATGTCCCAGGAGGGAGAAAAATACAGACCAAAACCCTCCACAGTGCCCATCTTACTGGGGAGAGAGGAAGAGGAAGACAGAGGCAAAGTCAAGCGTGAAACTTTCTACCTACCTGCCTTCATTGTGGACATTCTGGCCTTCACTGATTGGAGTGATTCAATACAGTACCAGAGGAGCCTTGACACTAGGGCAAAACTAGGACACTGTCTGAGATGCCAGTGCTTCAAAATGGGTTCATTTTGAAGAGCCAGGAGGCCCGAGACTTGGAACCAAACATTGGACTAATACAGTTAGTTAGGACTGCATACTAATTAGCTGAGATAAATTACTAGACTTAGGAGAAAAGCTATCCACAACTTCGCAGAAAAGTTACTGAGGACATTCTGAACCTATTACATATTAATTGGCTGTGTTCAAGTCCAAGGCCCAATAAACCCAACTGAGCGTGACCCTTTGTGTCTTTAGTTTATGGAACAAAGGCTGGTTGAGGGGTGCCCTGCCAAAATGGATGGGGCTGGCAGAGCTCTCAGAGTGCTTCAAAGGCTTGTTCTATGAGACAGATAGAAGAGGCACAACAGAGCAGGACCAACTTAATAGAAGCTCTTGAATGAAATATTTTCATGTCTTTATTTACAAGTGGAATCTGGCTGCCTATGAAATCATTGGAGATACTAAGTCTGAAGCACCAGGCACAGGATAAAATAAACCAGCACTGATGAGGACAGTTTCAGAAAGTTAGCAAGACAGGAAGAGCCATTAAAAATAGCAAAAACGAAGTGCCATCATTACCTAGTGAAATATAAAGTTTGGGAAGATGGAGGATGTCTGTTTCTTTACTTATGTATAAATATAAATCCCTGTCTTAATGTTTAAACTGGAGGAACAGGAGAGAAATAGGAGACGGGGCTAAGCAGATTATGCCGTTGTTCCACTTACATGCTCTTGATCTTTGTTATAAACTTAATTTCAACTGGGCATAGTGAGCTAGAACCAACTGCGTTATTACTTAATAGCTGAAGTCCAGTAGTGTCCCAATTAAAGTAGGCCCACCAAATCAGTGGAACGTACATAGGTGTTGACTAATCCACACTGATTCAATGATCCTACTGAAGTGGTGACTGACTCCTGGCCAATATGTAATATCTTTAATAATATTCACTCTATTCTGACGGCTTGACCACAGTGACATTGGGTGTCCTTTAGCAGCCTAACTGTTCTTGCACAACAGGCAGTTCTTGTTCCCATGTTATTGGTGAGAAATTAAGATTTGGGTAAGTTGAGGCAATGTGGCTTCCTTGTGGTCCAATGGGAATTTGACCTAGGGCCTTCAGATCCAAGTAAATACACTGGGCTACATCAGTTTCTATAATGAGATTTGCTTAGAAAGAGATCCCATTTTTGTTGCATAGAAAGAAACAAAAATACTTGTTATGTGTATGGGTAGATTAACTCAGCAGAATCTTTTATTTCTCTTCCAGAATCCAAGCCACCAACCAGAGCCTATATTGTCATTGTCTCTGCCTGAACTCTGTGAGAAACTCAGGAATGGCTCACTCTCCCCTGAGGCTGTCTTCTATACCTACGTGGACAAGGTGAGGTGAAGTGTGGCTTTCAAACCAGCAAAACTGAAGTGAAATTTGTGTCTTTGTTTATGGCAAAAGTTTATTCTGCAATCATGCTCTTAAACACAAGTAAGTGGTGCCTCGACTTACAAACATCCCCACCATTTCCTATGGGTCTTGCAGGGTTTGTTGCTTTTGGGTTTTTTCCCCATTTCCGATGGGTCTTGCAGTCTGTTTGCTTTTTGGTTGTTTCCCCCCCTATTTCCAATGGGTTTTGTGGGATTTGGTTGCTTTTTGCTTTGCTTTTTTTGCATTTCTGATGGGTCTTGCA